CTTTGCGCGATCAGACCCGATGCGCATGGCCTTGAGGGCGTCCCAAGCAGCCTTTGCAGAGTCCTTTGCGCCTAGCGACTCCACGTAATCGTGAGGCACAGCGGACAGAATCGCTTCCATCGCTGCGCAGTCCTCTTCTTCATCCTCGGTGCCTTCCTCGATGGCCCGCCAAAGCTTGCGCGCACGCAACTTGACCTTCATCAGCACCGCCCATTCGCCATAGTTTGTGCGTGTGAGGACCGGCCAGTTGGCCCCGCCAACGTCCCGCACGGTCCTGTGGATAATGACCTCCTGGCGTGGTGAAGCGTATGCTCCGCTCCCTTGCACCATCAACGCAACATCTTGGCTTGCCATGGCTCTGATGCCACTTGTTAGTCCCTACTAGTTCACTGCTCAAGTAAGCAAAAAATGCTTCCGGCACAAACGAACACTTTTAGGATGAAAGAAGAAGATTGTGAACAACTCAATGTATTGAGTATTAAGTTTTTCTGTGTTTACAAAACAAAAACTGCATACCTATTTATAAGAACTAAAAACAGCTATCCTAGTGACTTTCCTAGAAATTACTTAAGTTGAAAAGTCATGAAAAATCAGCCTAAAATGGCTGCCATGAAAGTGCTTTGCAGCTGCAAGGAAAGTGTAATGAAATTGCAAGGAAACAACAAGGAAACATCAGATTATATTTCTTACAAAAGCAACTACGTCGGGGTGATACTATTGGATAAGGGACGAGAAAACTCCCCGAAACTCAGGCGAGCCCGCACCCTGAACATTCCATGCTACAATATTCATTAGGAAACATCACCTGAAGGAGGTAGTGACCACTAATGATCGAGGTTCTGGACCTGCATGTCCGACCCCTCATCCATGCACATACGATCAGAAGGGCTTGCACCCGCCTCCCATCGCAACGTCTGATCCTCCGGCCAAGGGTCCTGACGGCGGACATTCTTTTCGCCCTCCGACATGCTACAGTCCCCAATGGCATTCATGTCACTAGCATGCTGAAAAGGCCCCCCGGATGAGGAGGGTTCAGGTTCATCGGTGACGGTAACGGCACGATGTTTGTTTGGGTCCAGTCCCGCGCCTAGCTGAATGTCGCTGACACACACACACTTAGAGCAAGAAAGAAGCACAAAACACTTTAACATAAAAAAAAGAGTTAACCAATAAAAAAAAGATGGCCGGAATCAAGATTGTCAAGACGGTCGTGTGCGTTTTCGTGGTGGTCTCGTTGGCTGTATCGGTGGATGCATTGGGTTGCACGCAAGTGGCCCAGTACTTGAGCCCATGCATCCCTTACGTGATGGGCCAGGGCCCGATCGGGAGTTGTTGCGGTGGGGTTAAAGGGCTTTATTCGGCTGCCGGCACAAGTGCCGACAGACAGGACGTGTGCAAGTGCTTGAAGTCGTTGGCATCGAATGTCGACCTCGACAAGGCCGCGGGTCTCCCTTCGCAATGTGGAGTCGACGTGCCTTACGAGATCAGCCCTTCCACCGACTGTGCAAAGTACAATTCGTGCTTACGTACTTCATATATTATCGTTTTGTCTACGTAATACGTATTTTCTAATCGTGTCGTGTCGTATTTCTCTGCAGGGTTCAGTGAGCTCAAGATTCCGGCAGTCGTGCTATTCGAGCTACTTAAATATTTATACTAGTATATGTTATTGTACTTTCAAGAAAAAAATAAAAAAAAAAAATAAAATAAAAGGTTTGCTGGTTCGATTGTCTTTATATTTTATGATGCTCTTATATATAATGCAGACTTGAACTTTTTGATTGTTATATAGTACTATTATTTATTGGATGTAAACCATGGTTCAAGCTTTTATCATTTTCCTCTATAATATTTTTATCTTTTTCTTCTAGTGAGACTAGTAAATGGCGCGTACGTGAATGTATATAATTCATTTGATATTAATGTATTTATTTATTTTATTATCATTCATTAATGAAAGATTTAACAGTATAATATTATATCAACGAAATTGAACTAATTGTCGTGAAAGGTTGTAGAGTGATTTTGAATTAGTTGGTAATGAATTACCTAGTACATCTCAGATATATTGACAAACCTACGGAGGATAAGATTATTTTGTGCTGACCAAGTAAATAATCATTACATGTGTTCTCTTAATTCATGAGAATGAAAATAAACATATGTATCGACTACTTATTCATTTAATTTACCACGAGTGAGACTTATTCTGGTAGGTCGACAGACACCGTATTATGGTAAATAATCTCGAGCGCACGACGTGCCGTAGAAATTGTTTACGGTCACCGTGTCTCGGTATGCCGGATTGATGACGTTCTCGAAATAAGCTCATAAATGATTATTATGTTAAGCTCACCAGACGGATTAATTTTCGACATAATAATAAAGAACAGAGTGGTGCTAGTTTTGGATATAGAAGTTTAATTAGTTATATTGTCAGTAATCATTAATCAACGAACGTTAGACCTTAAACATGGGTAGGTAAATCGAACAATTAACCGAGAGACAAATTACTTGTATTTCGAGGGTTAAAATGGGAGTTCAATAATATTATAATAGTTGTATTTAATATTTTATTTGTAATATAATATTTCGGTTTGAAATAATCTCGATTTGTATACCATGTTCAATATTTCTCTTTATCCCAGATATAAAATCTCATCAATTGTATGTGGAGTGGTCGAGTTTAGCCTATAAATATACTATGTTCTTAGCCTCCAAGAAAGAAGAGTTCAGTTTTTTCTTCTTGGGCAAGAAATCTACTAAAATCGAGAGCAAGAGAAGGAGAGAAAATCGTGAGTTCTTGTGTGAGGTTCGGGAGATCCGATAAGTTGTCAGCCACGGCCAATCAAAGCAAATGATTGGTTATACAATAGAAGATCATAAGGTCTCGTATTTGAATCCCGATGAATTTTATATTCCGACGCTCATCTGACGACCACCAAACTTGATGTGCTCAACCACTGGCTACCACCTCACGCGGCAGGACAAGGCGAGGCGGCATCTGCCACCACCTGCATCCACCGGCGTGCAGTGTCTGCGCAACTGTGAAATAAATGTGCCGTGCAGTATCTGCGCATAAACCCAAAAACACGAAGAAAGCACGAAAAAACACACACACTTGATTCTTTGATCTTTATAAGCTTTCCTTATCCCCTAAATCTTAAGAGCAAAGCAGTCTGAATTCTGAACATAGGACTATTAACTATTAAGTATTAACTACAAGCGTCTACAAACTTCACCTTTCATCTCCCAANNAAAAAAAAAAAAAAGAAAGAAAAGAAAAAAGAAAAGGCAAAATAGTTGTAGCTTTTATCATTCTCTACATCTTAATACTGCTAATGTTCTAACACTTACAACAATCACCACACAAACCGCGCCCTACAAAACTGATGCCCTGACATGCCGCCATTTCTAGTCTTCTTCTTCTTCATCATTATCATCATCTGGATGATGATCAGAGACTGTACCTTCTGAAGATGCCTCGTCGCGGTTTTCCTCCTGCAAATGACCATCAGAATGTGTTTTGCTTGAATCTTCACTTGCTGCAGCCGATCCTCGCACTTCCTCTTTGCTTTCTTCTTCTTTTTCATCTTCTTTTCCAGCTTCAACCTTTGCTTTCTTCTTCTTCATCTTCTTTTCCAACTTCTTCTTCATCTTCTTCCTCAGACCACGCAGAGGATCCTTGGGCTTCGGAGGCATTTGTCCCGGCACAAAAAACGGAGGAATCAGAGACGAGCCTTCCCCAAACAGCACGATTAACGACCGAGCTAGACCGGATAGAGCGGGAGGGATCTCTGGCTCGGGAGTTTTACCGCTTTTCACCACTTCCCGGAGCCAATGAGGAAGCGCGCCCTTTGGGGAAGAAGTCTCCCGATCGACTGCCACTTCTTTTCCTTTCGACTCGGAAATTTTTATGTCCTGAATGTCCTCAACCGGTTTCGAACTATTAAGGCCCGGGAAAAACGGGCCTTCCCTCTGTTGAGGTGGCCTCTGCTGCAGTCCGAGAGGGTTATTCAGGTGACTCGTCCCGAATGGGTTCAGCAGGTAACCCGAGCTTGAAGGGGCAAACGAGTTTCCGGCCATCCCCATAAATAGGTCGCCGGAAAACTTGGGCGGCTCAAAATAAGGTGGCGGCGGCGGCCCGCCGGAGAGGCCCAGCCTCATGTCTGTCATGTGGGCCTGAGATCTCATGGGCCCACCGTGCAAACCCTGTGCCATCATCCCTGCACGAGCCAGCATCTCGTTGGTTATTCCGGAAAACGGGCTGTTTTCGGGCTTCGGGTGTGGGAGTGGGTTTGGGCCGGTGGGAGCTTGTGTGATGATCTTGAGCTGCTCATCGGCCCATCTCATCGCCAGGTCATCTGGCGTCTTAAATTTCGAGAATCTCAGCCTCGGGTCGAGCAGCATCGCCTCCCAATTCCCCCTCCCGTGCCGGCGCACGCCTATCCAGAGATAGTCGAGCTCGTCCTCCGACCATATGTCCATTCTCTGCTTCTTCTTCAGAAAACTGCTCGGGCCCGGCACTGGCCCAGGCCCGGTCCGGAGCAAAATATTCTCTAGAACCTTCCGGTGGTTCTCGGGGAAAGATGAGAATGAGGGCGGCGGCATCTGATGTGGCGGCGGATCTTGCTGAGTGAAATTGGGGTGAGGTTCGGGCGGGTACTTGAAATTCGGCAGTAAGGGCAGCATGGGAAAATCGTAGGGTTCACGGGCTCTCGACGAGCCCCCGAGCGAAAGGTTCGGGAATAAATCGGGACCCGCGCCACCTGGCACATTTGGCAGAGGAAGCGTGTACCTCGGCAGAAGTTTCTCGTCAAACGGGAGTCTCGGCAGAAGCATCTTTTCTTGAAAATCGGAAAATGTAGCAGCAGCAGCAGCAGCAGATGCTCCCGAATGCTCCGCTGGACCTTTACCTTTCCCCATATTCATCGACTGCTGCAAACAAAAAAATAAATGAAAATTTAAGAATAAGTAACGACAATTATTGGAATAATAATACGGTTAAGATGAGAATGAGTGTGAGTATATAGTAATTATATACCGGATTCTTGAAGGGCAGATATTTGTCAAGGCTATTATCGCCTTTATTCTGCACGGGCTGAGAATTGCCGGGAAAAAAATCGGGCATCCTGTATGGGCCTGAGATTGCCTCTTTATTTTTGGCATTGATAGCATCACTAGGAAAGCCCGAGCCCAAAGGGAACTCGAACCCAAGCCCTTGTGTGGGCTGCCTTTGGGGGGGAGGCCTGGGGATTCTCCTCTGCAGAGGCTCAGCCCGTTTAGGAGCATTGGGTGCACAAAGCCCGATAACAGGCAGCAAGTTATCGTTCATGTTCATAGCATCTGTGGGACCTACGCCTCGTAAGTGATCACTGTCCTTAGAAACTTCCAGAAGATTCAATCCCGTAGAAATAACAGGAAGTTGTTGTTCCGTAAGGGAAGCAGCAGATTTGTGATTCGGCGTTTTTCTCAGCTTGCTGGGTCCCACGTCTGGTTGGCCCTGATTCTGATTTTCCGAATCGACAGCGTTTGATGATTTTTCTTCTACGGGACGAGTCGATTTGGCAGCACCCATTTGCTTCTCTTGTTGGGCAGCATAAGGAACAACTGGAGCTGATAATGACTCCACAGTGTTCCTCCTTGCTAACCGATCTTTTTGTCGTGCACGAAGCTTGGTACTGTTGAATAATAAAAATTTCAAAAAGGTATTAATTACAATCAAATTTGGAATAGTAGTTTGAAGCGAAATTTTATTTTTTAAGAAATGAAAGAATCGAACTTGCGCAATTCTTGCGCAATGATAGCGCAGCGCGCAATATGTATCGACTGCGCGCAATATGTATCAACTATTTTTTCTTTTTTCCTTTTTTATAAGCTACAATGAACAGAAAATTTGCTAATAGGGATATATTACATCACAAAAACTTCTAAATATGAAATAAAAAAGAGAATAATAAAGCAGAACTCACTATTTTTCCTTCAGAGCGCGTCCAGCTGGAGTGTACTCACGCACAGGCTCGGGTTCACGCTCCGGTTCCTCTTCTGCGCCACTCTGAGATAGCAAACAATAATGATTACCATTCAGCCTCTTCTCTAAATTAAATTATTCGATCATCAAACACTGGATCATCAAACACTGGACGCAAGAAGCTTATATAAGGGGCAAATAACATTCAAAAAGAAGGTAAACGAATTTCAAATGAATGGCTACTCTAGAAACAGCAAATGGCGCCTGACAATGAAGATATAAAGGCAATTTACATGGTGAAAATTAATCTAGCTTCATAGATATGCCCTAAGATCTCATTTCATGCTCACAAAAGCAAACTATGGCAGGAAAAATGTAAACTAAAGGTGAATTGCCTCTGGATATTTGGATCATATATCATTACCAACTGCGAGTTTATCATAATAAACTTTTACTATAATTAGTCGAGCATAATTTAGCAACACTACCCCAAATAGTCGGTGTTGATCAAAAAGTCACGAAAGGCAGAGAGTTCTACATTAATTTATGTCACAATCAAATCCTATGTTGAGATAGAGTAAGAAACAGGAGTACAATAGGACAGAGAGAGAGAGAGAGAGAGAGAGAGAGAGAGAGAGAGAGAGAAGAGAGTACTTCGTTCAGTAAGTCGTTCGGATGAGCTACATATGCCTCTCTGTAAGAAACGGCTTTTCTTTGGCGCTTTCCACGACCAAGGGATGCTTCTTCCTCATTTCTATAATTTTCCCATCTACAAAATAACCATAAGAAAAAATTACAACCCAAAAAAATAAAGAAGGCCACAATTTATGAAAAAAAGTATGCATTTATAGAGATATTCTCCTTCAGTCCAGTGCTTGGGTGGGCCTCAACATCAGAATCAGGAAGGATTTTATAATAAAGAAATCTTTCTTTCATACATTAACATAAAATTTTTAGGTAAAGTTTGAAACTTTGGAGTCGCATAGGATGGATACCAAGGGATTTAGAACATGGAAAAATGTGAATATGTTCGAGCTCCTCACCTAACTCGCAGAAGCCTATCCCATTCATTTTCTTCTGTTGTGCCATCCGAATTTACAGCCTTCTTTTCAGAAGTCGGTTCATTTGTTTCATCATCGGCTGCAGCAGAAGCTGATATATTTCCAGCTTGATGATCTTCTGTAGGCTCATCATTCCATTCCAGTGACTGTTTATTAAACAAAAGAGTGAGGACAATAAGTACTAAAACTGTCCCTAACTTAAAGAAGTGTTACATAAATACTTGTTTTCTAATCAAGATACAATCCCAAATTGAAATGAGAAAGATTCTACAAGAACATTTGAAAAGAAATGTCATAAACGAGACGAGAGAGAATCTGAGCTACATACCTTCACCGAGCCAAGCATGTCATTCTCTAGTCCCGAATCTGCATTATCTGCCGAACCAGACTGTATGTTTGACCGGTCAAGCAATTTCATAATGGCATTTTCATCCCATGCGGACTTGTTATTAATATCGGCACATTTGTCTTTGTAAACATCCCCAAGGCCCCCAGTTCTCTTCCTACCACTCGGCTCGATCTCCACGAGAGCTTCATCTTTTGTGCCTTGATTTTCACCGTCTTTTTCAGAATCACCAAAAAGCTCTTCAGTCCCCCACTTTAGTATGTCCTCCACCTCCTTCTGAGATCCAGACTTGTTCACAAATAGCTGGTCGAGCATCAGTTTTTTCTTTGCAAGCTGCAAGATTCGCTCTTCCACGCTAGCACGCACGACGAGCCTGTACACTAGAAGTCTATTCGACTGCCCGATTCTGTGTGCTCGATTCATGGCTTGGATATCAGCATGTGGGTTGAAATCAGAATCGTATATCACAACAGTATCGGCCGTGGCCAAGTTAATACCGAGCCCACACGAGCGAGTCGAGAGGAGGAAAACAAATCGGCTCTTGTCCTGGTTAAAACGTGCTATTGCAGCTTGCCTCTCGGCCACAGAGACCGAGCCATCAACTCTCTCATACGTTTTAGGCCCGAATTCTATTGTCAGATAATCCTCGAGGATGTCGAGCAACTTGGTCATCTGTGAAAAGATAAGCACTCTGTGGCCATCTTTGTATAGAACTTTGAGCATCGAATGCAGAAGGGTCAACTTAGCCGAAGCTTTTATTCTCATCTCGTGCAGAAATTCAACCGACCCAGATTCGGGCTCGGTGCCCGGAATGAGATAAGGATGATTGCAGACTTTTCTCAACTGCATGACGATATTCAGCATCGATTGCTGAGGAACCCCTTTCCCTATGTTACGTAAAATCTGGTAGTTCTTGGTAAGCATAGCCCGATAGTATTCTGCCTGTATTGAAGACAGCTCGACAGGGACAACTCTTTCGATTTTCGGGGGGATATTTTGCATAGCGTCCTTCTTTAATCTTCGGAGCATGTGTGGAGCGACGAGTTTCTTCAGTTCTTCGACTTTTTCCGCAGTTGTTAGATCGTTAAATTTCTCCTCGAACGAGGAGAGAGAAGGGAACGAAGCCTGCTGCAAGAAATTCAGAAGGTTGTACATTTCGCCTATGTTGTTCTGAAGAGGAGTACCAGTCAAAAGTACACGATGCCCGAAAGAAAAAGTGTTCAGCAGACCGAACAGCTTACTTTCCGAATTCTTCAATCGGTGGCCTTCGTCTACTACAAGAACCTCCCAAGGAACTCCACGTAGATAAGACGAATCGCACAAGACCATCTCGTAAGTGGTGAGGAGGACATTGAATTTGAACGCAGAAGTTTTTTTGCTGTTCGGTCCATTGGGATTATTATTATTATTATTGGCATTGGCATGCCATTCGTACTGTCGAATCGCAGCTCGTGCCGTCGTGTTGCCGTGATACTCCACGACGTTGAGCCGCGGGGCCCACAGAGAAAATTCGGACATCCAGTTGGGCATTGTGGATAGAGGGACCAAAACGAGACAAGGGAGCGTGACTTTGAACTCGAAATACAGAGACGAAATGAAAGCGCAAGCCGACACGGTTTTTCCGAGCCCCATCTCGTCAGCAAGTATAACGTTTCGGGACTTATGCCAGCTTTTACGAAGCCAATTCAGTGCCTCCATCTGATGTGGAAATAGAGAGCCTCCGACTAGCTCTTTCGGCTGTTCAGTGAGGGCAATTACGTCACTTTTCTGAAAATCAGCCTTCCTTCTCGACGGGTCGAGCTTCTTAGCGTCGTTTTCTAACGCCTGCCGTTCGAACCTGACGAACGAGTCGATCAAGTGGGATGAGTTTGCAAGAGGAGGGTCGTTAATTTTTTCCCAAGTGCATTCATCATATGGGAGGCCCGTCCATTTCACGTATGCTTCGGTCGAACCATCTGACAAGGACCTCATTGCAATTACTCTCTGAGGTGTTTTCCACTGTTCTTTGCAGATATTCATTGTGGCCGTCCCGTATTTCCCTTTGTAATTTTCGAGCTTTCGTTTGGCGAGAGATTTCAGTTCGGATTCGGAGATCCAAGTGTTGTGTACGTGAGATTTACCCACCCACTTGACCAAAAACTCGTACGACACTGTGGGACATGTCGGGATGGATTTTCTTTTGGCAGTGCTGATTTTTCTTTCATCTTTCTCGATTTTTTCCGGTGGCCCATCATTTGAAGTCCCGGGATTTTGACTTTCCTCGCTATCTTTACATTCTTTCGTCACTGATCTTATGTGCACTTGATCTTCCTCCTTATGATCCTCAGCGGAGTTTTCCCCAACACCATCATCCAAAGGCTTGGGATTTTCGTAAGAATTATTCTGTTCTTCTGCAACTAATGTATCCACCATAGGTGAAATTATGTAGTTATCAAGAACTCGACAGCCAACTACTCGATCAACCTGCTGAAAAAGTCGAAAGATTAGAAACGTTAAGTTCATTGCAATATGTCATGTTCATTTTGTAATCACTAAATACCTGCTGAAATCCAGCAGCATCATCTTCGTATCTCGAGAGTTCAACAGTATTTCTTAAAGCATCTTCTGATTCAGGTGAATCATGAGTTGCGTCTTCAAGACTCATCTGCATTGGAGGAAAAAGAAAAGGAAAGGAATTTTATCAAGAAAATGACAATAGATATGAGTCAATAAATTTAGTTTCACCAATCCAGCTCAACAATCAATTTACTTTAAAGAACGTTAAACAATTACTACCTTTTAATCATTGACTTTGGAGAATGCTAAATAAACCACTATAGGATAGTGGGTGGCATCAAATTAACATATCAGTTTACCTTTTTTCTGTTAACACTTGATAAATCATAAATAATTTATCTAACAATATTCAGTAACAAGTAGTATAGGAGCCAAAAATGATTCAAAGAATAGAAGAAATAGTTATTACAACTCTCACAACTTTGTCTGGGTAAATAGGAAATCCGAAAACAGACACTCACAAATTGTAACTTAGTTTATGAAAAATAGTAAATGTCCACTGGTATCTCTACCGATGTGGTGGGCTTAGAATCTCAAGTATAGATAAGATAACATTGATTGGAAAATACATACAATGGGCTCAAGCTTCATTCTTTTCCGTTTAATTTCAGAAGCCATGCATCATTGGCAGAATAAACATGTGAAAAGATACTCAATACAATAATTCAAGGATAATTCAGCAACTTAACCATAATGTGAGTTTTAACTTGAGCAAAGTAGAGTATCTAGAAATGAATGAAACAAGAAAAATACCTCATCCTTAAGGATATCAGCCATATCCGACTTGACATTCCGCTTGGCTGGCCAAGCTTCACGACCTGTTATCTTCTGTTTTTTCTGTGATTTTGAAGCTCCTGAATGTCCAACATCCACTTTGAGTAGACCTTTTTTAGAAGCACTTGAACCAGATTTACCCTTGTTTGTCCTACTTTTCTTCTCATTTTCTTCCGTATAAGTTTTGCGCTTCCTTTTCCGGGCCAAGAGGCTACCAGCTGTCAATGCAAGGACGGGTTCTTTTCCAGGTGAAGATTTTTCAGGAGATTCCCGATTAACATCAGAAGATTCCCCTTTCCCATTCGGTTTTTTCTTCTTCAATTTCTTTTTATTTGTCAAAGATGACAACTTTTTACTTTTAGCTGACTTCTCGGCTTGTGCATCTGAATGAGACACTATTTGCTTCCTATTAACACCAACATCATATGGACTAGCATCTGAAGAATCCTCCTCTCGATTATCACAATACAACTTGTCGGGTGTTTGGTCCCGAAGTGATAAAGATGATTTCCCTTTGTCTGATTGTTTTCTCTTCACATGAACGGAAGTTTCAACGTGTGAAGCTTCTTTCTCAGTTGTTGATGGTTCAGCAAGAGATTTTGATCTCCGAATGATGATCTTTGTCCGTGCGCGTTTTGTAAAAAGATCCGAAGGGCTTGTGCTGTCCGTACGAGCATTTTGCTGACAGCAGGTCGGACATTCCCACTTACCCGTCGGAATACGCTTGAGATTACAAAAATGAGAAAAAAAAATGTGTTACTATAGTATGTACAAAAGATTAAGAATTCATTAACATCATTTATAGCATCTAAAATACAAGTACCTTTAAAGCAGGATCCAAACACTCGAGATGATATGTACGGGGACAGCTATCACAACACAGCAACTTTCCACCAAGTTCACAGACCTCACACTCGTAATAATACTGAAATATTAAGCAAAACAAAAAAGAAGATGCAAGATATAAGTCGCATGTAAGCTCAGACATTCTTACATAATCATTCAAACCAAGTGAAGTGTGAAACTAAGCTCAAGAACGCAAATTGAATAAAAGTGATCCAGATAAGCTAGAAATATACATAAATAAATCAAGTGGGTTTAAGACCATGCATGCAGAAAACATCTCTTTTATAGCACGTTGTGCTTATCCAACTTAAATAAGCCTAGTTTTTACTCAACTGCACTTCGCTACTCTTTGACTTACCCCATCATTGCCTTTTTTCTTCCCAGAAAACTGATCAGAACTGCTATCCTCTTTGAGGTCATGTTTTGATTTTGCAATAGATGGCAACTTTACAGGTTTTTCGATTTTCTCTCTCTCGCCAGACTTATCTGTACCAGTTGGAAGCTTTCTACGCTTGCGTTTAAGCACCCAGTTTCCGTCGAGCATCGCACTATTCTCCGGGCCGTTTTCATTCATCGCTGTTGCATTTACAAACTGCAAACATAAAAAGTAACACTAACGTCATAAATAGAAAAAGTTAGGTAGAATGGCTTAAAATAGAAAGTCAACTAGCTGTAAATCTATCAGAAGCTAGGTTATAGAATTCAGATTCCACACGTCACTCAAAGTAATAAACAAATGTGTTTAAATTCTCAAACCCTAGCTCATCCAATTTAATCCCTTCGGCAAACCCCTCAAAACCAAATATGCCAACGAAAATACATTCGTTAATTTCTGTCAACAAGAGACTAGCACAAGTTCTAAAACGAAAGATAATAAATTGCACAAAGCTCACTTACATCAAACCTAGATTTATTGTATAACTATGAAGAAACTTTCAGTACATTTGAAATCATATGCCCAGGATGACTTATTTCATGGTCTAAGTGACTTTCAAACATCAAAAACGATGTTACTCCGAAAGTAAAACCTTTAAATTCAGAATGCAGTCATTTCTTGAGAAGCAGTTAGCTGAAACTAAGAACTGTTATTGTCGATAAAATATTTACGTATATAATAAGAGAAAACCTGCACATACTATCTGAAGATAATTTGAATACAAAATACAGAGCACCTCAAACTACAGATACTAATGAGTGTTACTCTGAAAGTAAAACCTTTAAAATTAACGAGGTTAGCCATTTGAAGATATTTCAGGATGAACAGTTAAAAGAAGGAGTAGAGTTGTTAAAGAGAGTAGCTCATTGTTTAAGATAAAAGATATGCATCGTTTCAAAGTGTGATGTCAGCAAGCAAACATTAGCCTAAAATGGAGCTACAAGCATTAGCATAAGAACTAGGGTCATGCTATGAAGCACAAGGGGTTCACAGTGGATACTGGATGCTAAATGCTGAGGGGAAGCTACTGCACAGTTTATCGATTTCTTGACTTAGTTGTCACGTGTTGAATACGGCATGCATGTGAGATCATAATGAATTTATGAATAATTGATCAGACCATGCAACAAGTTTCTTAAAAAGACGAAAGCACGGTCACGCTAAATCATTAATGATTTTGATCATTTATGTTCCTATATAAGTTGCTCGTCGTCAATAGGTTTTTTCTCGTTTCCCCATATTATTTGCTGCAAGGATCGTGCATCCATTCTTGGTCCTCTTATTCTCTGCCATTAACGCAATTCTAAATTGATAAGCCCATATTATTATGTGTCCTTTGTTTAGCATCAGTTACGGTTGCCAAAGATAGCATCCAGTACTTTGCCTTATCCATATATACCATCCAAAGGAAAACTATATCTTTAAAACAAGAATACGCGAAATGAGCAATCCGAATTTGAGAACTCAAGCTCAAAAAATCTTTCTGCAATGCAGGTTTAAGACATACCAAACCATTAATGAACCTAAGAGGACAACATAAACTATAAAGCTAAGATGCTCCCATGCA